ACACTGCGACATACTCAGGACTTTTGCGTTCATCTTTCCCCCTAAAGAGGAATATATCATCCTATAAGTTTTACCTAATAGTAGGTTCAGTGCGGGGAGGGGGAACCAACAAAATAAGCAAAAGAATCACCTACAACACACTAACCTTACTACAAAGTTTTTCTAAAGTCCAGTGTAGTATACTATGTACTATCTTCAACTGAGTTGCAAAGGGCATTCCTTAAATATTTTTCTTTTACAAAAGAAGGGCATGATCATTATTTCCACTCTAAAAATAAGAAACCTGGGCACAAAAAAGTAAAGCAATTTGCCAGAGGTTATGACTAAAATAGAGCGCAAATAACAAAAGGCAAGTGTCCCACTTGTGGACAACTCATCTCATCAATCCGTTCTTTCAAAAGTGTATTATGAGGGGCTGGGGGTTTAGCTCAGCGGCGTAAGCACCTGCCTTGCAAGCAATGAAAAGAAATGGAAAATTACTTTGTCATTAGAAGCTGGGAAGTTTCAGGAGAACTAGTGACATTAGCTCAATATATTGAGATTCACTATTTATAACATTAATATCATGCCTTAAATATTTATAACATAGGACAATGTTATAGGAAATATTATAACATGACAATGTTATATTTATTTATAATATATTTATTTATAGCATGACAACTTAAATATTTATAAAATGACAATGTGTCAAGTCCTGCTAACATCAAAGCAGTCTTCTTTTCCCAAGTAATTCTGAAGATTTTGGAATGTTTGTTTCAAAAATGTGTGGAGTAAATACTCACAGGTCTCAAGACCACTGTCATATCAAGTAGTCCACGCACTCAATGTCTAAGATGGATTAAGAGTAAAGCTTTTGGTATTCAAGGTGGGGAAATAAACAGTATAAATGAATTCCTTATCACCTAGATGAAAAACAACCTTACTTTATGCTTATTTTTTTAAAACTCGGTAATATTTAAAAATTAGTTTCTTAGAATATAACTTACTTTCCAATATAAGATTAATAACTAAGAAAAATTTTGTTAGAAATGAATTAAGAATTTAAACTGATACTTATGTATATAATAAAAGAACTAATATCTTTACTAATGCTTGTAGTGATAATTCTATTTAGTAGATACCTTAATGGTTCTACCTTAATTTTGTCCATAGTGTAATGTGTACTGTACTTCAAATATAGGTGGAGGATACTTAAATTTAATAGCCCCTTTTTACTAAAACATTGAGATTCTCTTTGGATTCAATAACAGACACATATAAACACCTGAAATTATGTGTGTCATCAACTTATACTACCCCAAAGTTTCAAAAAACACTCAGTGGGACACTTGATACTTCAATTACTGCAGACAGAATTAAAATCCCAATCAGAAGAAATGCCAAGATCTTTAACATTAGATAAATACTTTGCAGACAGTATGTTACCTATGTAGCTAATATTTTTAAGAAAGTACTTATAATCACCTTTTCTCCTGCTGTTTCATGATCAAAAAGAGAACTGCAAAAGGAAACAATATCCTAGTTTAGACCTCACACTACATAGTCTTTGAACATAAAGCTAGGAAACTTTAATATTAGAGATACTTACATACATAGAATATTAGTATTTTCAGTTGGGGGGGGGGACTTCCTTATGTGCCCGTTATTGAATCCAAACAGAATCTCAATGTTTTAGTAAAAAGGGGCTATTAAATTTAAGTAAACTCCACACGCATTTGAAATACACTCTACAGGATGGACAAAATTAAGGTAGAAACTTTAAGGTATCTACTAAATAGAATTATCTATTTACAAGCATTAGAAAGGTATTAATTGTTCTATGATATACATATGTATCAGTTTAAACTCTTAATTCATTCCTAACAAAAACATTTTCTTAGTTCCTAGGTATTAATCTATATTGGAATGTAAATTATATTCTAAGAAACTAATTTTTAAATAGCACTATAAGGTAAAGGGTATAAAAATCTTGCAAAATTGGGTGAACACTCTGACAGAATATTTGACCAAAGTTAGAGAAAAAAGAAAAACAGATGTCACATATCCTTAAAACATGATTGGTACTAGATATTTTCATTTTTTCCAGTTATTCATCATACCCTTTGCTATACTGCATTGCATTTCCTATTTTTCCCCATTTTTTAACTAATCACACATTTAATATTTCACAACATAAGAAACAGGGTTATAATTCTTACAAATTTAAGAAATGAATTATATTTATAACTGGAAAGAAAAAAGCAAAGCACAGAATAAGACTCATCCAATGTGTTCAAACTCTCCAGCAGAGGGCAAGATAGATTCAACATGGAAAATGTATGATTACTTCAACCACTCGCAAACTGTGGTTTTGCTGTGCAATTTTTACAACCCACAGCCTTGTCTCTTCCTCAACCATAGAATGGAAAATATGTGTCATTGTAATATGAAGCAATCCTATTTACCTAAAAGCCAACTGCAACAAAAAACCAGAGAAGTCATCAAAATTCATAGCTTTCAATTCAAATCAATGTCAGCTCATCTGCAAAAAGACATGAACATGGCAGCCTTTTAAGGAAAAGGTTTTAGCCTGCAGTAGGTATTGCCTTTCCTCCTAAAATCGCCCACATATACAAAAATGGTAAAATTATTTACATTTATATTTAGTGACAAATCACAGAATATTCAGGGGAAAACTTGGGGCCTCAGCATCAGTTGTCAGCCTGAAAGAGTTTAGGGGAAAAAAGCAAATACTTTCTTGAAACACAAAAATCTGAGATGGTCTGTTTTTTAACCAGTTGCTTATATGGACACGTGTAGTGACTTTTGCTAATACTCACAAATGACTGAACTTCTTTGGCTTGCAGCATTCTGAAGAATTTAAATGTTAGTTTGCTTATTTTCTTTTCTCATTTATTACCCAAACAGCATTTCTTAAATATCTACCATGAACTTGACACTCTGCAATATTATCTTGATGTTTATTAGAATTTACACATTTATAACCTAATTAACATGGTTACTCCTCAAACATTTTTTATCTTGGAAAGCTATGCTTTGGGACATTTAAATGCAAATTAACAATGAATTTGTATAGGACTTTAGAATTTAAGATTTAAATAACATTCTATGAGGCTAACAAGAAAGGCACATTGCTCTTTATTATAGAGGAAGAGTAAAGAGAAACTCATCTATGAAGTCACAGTCCCAAGTTATTTAGTATTTATTGCTTAAGCACTGACTCTTAAAGACAACACACACAAGCTCTCCCCCTCCTCCCTCTCTGCCCCTCTTCTCTCCATTCCTCTTCTTCCCCCTCCCTGGCTCCCTTTTCCACTCCCTCTTCTGAACTCCTGAGCAAGCCAGTGAATTTCGTCTATATTCTAATATCCAAAATGGTAAGAGAAAAATATATTTTGGTTTGTATTGGTGAAAAAAGACAAATATGTCTTCATATTACACATAATGTGGCAAATATATCCGTATAGTACCCACATTTAATAAGTACTGAATCATCAGAAAGTTATATACTGGAAAATTATGCTAAGTTCTTTTGGAGATAAACAGCACATTCATAAGAGAAATTATATTCTGACAAGTTTTACAAACATGTTTTCAAGTATTACTGAAATCTAAATGATTTTCCTTTCTATAATAAGGTATATAACTATACTTTTGAGAAATGACTGCAGATTTTGCTCTCCAAATTAAACTGATCTCCAACTAGTGGAAGCTCAGCAAAAGTTGACTGATTCAAGAAACACCTCCAATTTTCTTTTAATCTGATGAGACACAGGGAAAGTATCTGTGGCCCAACCAAAACCTTGCTATTCATCTTACTACCCAGTGGCTTAATGAGAAAACCACTTCAATATTCCCTTGGGTAGTTCTAGTAATGTTAGGCGAAACTAGATCTCTCTGAATTATCTACTTATCCCTATGAATCAAGTCTTTTAAAGGCTGCAGAAGTATCTCAAAGGTGGGTTTTTGAAAAACCCACCGCTGAAGGTTATTCAAGCAAATTGTTGACACCTGCCTACACTCCCACTTAGCCCTAGTCCGCTACACACCCTTTTTGTTAATTGACTGTGATAAATTCTAATCCAGCCAATGACTCAGGAGGAAACCCTGACTCCTAGCACCAGAATTCTGGTGCATTCCAGCCGCAGAGTCTTTGTGTCTCCTTCACCTCTCATCATAAAAGATTTATGATTTCTCTGCAGGAGATGCCGTCAAGGGATCCTGAGGAACAACCCTTTCAATCTCAAGGAGGGAAGCCGCCACGTGACTACCAGTGGAGGCCAAAAATGCAAACTAAATTAAAGCAGTGTCTTCTGACAAAGTCATTTTCTCCCGTTTCCTCCCTGACTAATATTCATTTCCCTAAAGTATTCCAAGACTCTGAGGCGAGCTGCAGAGCAGGTCGCCCCACCTGAACCTGGTAATCAACCCTTCCGGTGTCTCTGGTTCCCCATTTCCAGGCAGCTGCTGCAAAGCGCCGGCAAGGCCAGGATCTCCCTAAGCAGTTCACGAAGCAGGTGGCCTCAGATGAGTCTTTAAAACGCCACAAAAAAGGGGGCAGGGAGAAAGGCGCGCTCTTAAAGAAAATAAAAAGAGATAAAAATAAAAAGCCCATCCTTCATTCAAAATAAGGCCACCGAAACCTGACCAGAACCAGGGAGCGACCTTCAGCTGCTGGGGATTCTGCCCTCTGTGACTGGGAGAGGGCGAGCGCCCGGCTCGTGCAGTCAAGGCTGCACAGAGGTCGTGACCCCGTGTCTTTCACCCAGAAAAGCCTCCAGCTGTCCCACAACGCTCCCGGCCGGCCGCAGCGTGCCGCCTGTGTGCGCACGACGCCGGCGCCGCGTACGTCAGCACCGCCCTCACTTTGAGACCCTTCCTCGCCGGCGTGACCACCGCGGCCGGTGCCGGCCCCGCCCCGTGCCTGACAGCAGCCGGCCAATCCGCGCGCCGCAGAGGCGGGGACGACGCCGCGCAGCCCCGCCCGCTCGCCGCAGTCTAATTTAAAGCCGAAGGCGCTCGAGGCCGGCTAGACTTCTGCGGCCGCAGGACGATAATGCAAAGTGCTATGTTCCTGGCTGTCCAGCACGACTGCGTACCCATGGACAAGAGCGCAGGCAGCGGATCCAAGAGCGAGGAGAAGCGGGAAAAAATGAAACGCACGCTGTGAGTACGGCTTTTTTCTCTATTCTGAGATTCCCCCTGCGCACTCCCGATCAGTTTATTCTCTGGTTGAACCTCTGGTCCCGGCTTTGACCTTAGCAAAAATTGTAGCCTAGCCCTCTGCAGGAAAAGGTTAATTTATTAAATAAGGTTAAATCTGTGGCTTGTACTTACTTTATGAGGGAAAGGCGCCTGGGTAAAATTTAGGAACTGAGGAGATCTTGACCTATGGGCGGTGGTAGATGTGCTAAGATATTGCAGGTTGGCTTTTTGTTCTGCATTTAGATAGGAGGGAGGGAACGGAAAAGGGGAAGTAAAAAGGGACCAAAATGCAATCTGTATATGCACTAGTACTGTGTGTTGAATATTTTCAGTATGTATCTGAAATATATGATATTTAGAAATTCAAATAAAATGACCTCAGAATCGTGCGACTGAAAGGCGTCCCCAGCATTCCTACGTTGCATTGCGAGTTCTGATCTGCTTACACAAGTGCTAGTTGGAGACATTTTGGCTGATTCGGAGTATATTCCGTGCAAATCCACTTTTTTATGTTGTAGAACCTATCTCACCTAGTCACGACCGTGAAACAAGTAATTGTTCTGCAGCATATTGCTGGAAGGAGCGTTGTGGGAGGGGAGAAGGAGAGTGCTGACAGGGAATCAATCAGTCACACACACCCCTTTGTACAAGACCTCCTCTGGCTTGGCTCGGTTCGCAGCCTCTTGCTTTATAGGCAGAAAGGGAAAGAGCATCAACTGACTGACAGCAGTTTCACTCTGACCTTTGCATGAAGTGAGAAATCCTGCAGAAGTATGATTAATCTTGCAGAGAAACTACCTTTGGTGGACCAGAAATAGCATCTACCTATTTCTGCAAACTAAATTTATGTAGGCTAAATTTATTAAAATAGTCTAGTAATTTTAGGTGATCTTGCCTTTAATTGTAAAATTAGTTATATTATGGTAAATGAATGAAATTATGTGATGGGTTTAAATGCTAGGAGGGTAAGAGTTGTTACTTGAGTCTTGATTTCTCAGATTTGTTTGTAGCTATTGATTGCTTTATTCAGTAAAAATTGCTTCTGCTGCAGTAGCATATTCCAGCATTGCCATGTAGTGAATTTATTTTTTTCCTTTCTTTAGCCTAAAAGATTGGAAAACCCGTTTGAGCTATTTTTTGCAAAATTCTTCTACTCCTGCGAAGCCCAAAACCAGCAAGAAAAGCAAACAGCAAACTTTCATAAAGTAAGTTAGGAATCTTGTACTTGCAAATATGGACATTTTGCTACTGAACTGAAGTGCACAAGCTAATGGGTGGAACTTCTCTTGCAGGCCTTCTCCTGAGGAAGCACTGCTGTGGTCAGAAGCCTTTGATGAACTTCTAGCCAGTAAATGTAAGTTAACCTCTTGAATTCAATGCACTACAAGTAAGCACAAAAGTCTATGAAGGTGGCATACACCCCATAAATGAGCAGTTTACAGAGGAGAATTTGACTTTACAGTCTCTATGGCGTAAAGCCTGTTTTTCTTTCCTTTATTTCTTAGCATTTAGTCATGGAAATGCATGTGATATTGAGTCCAGGTGCACAAGAAAAATTAGCCTAAAAGCTAAAATGAAAGTTGACCATAGTTAAAGTTGAGTCAGCTTTTCCATTACACGAGCCCTAGTTACCAGAGAATTTATGACTGACCTCTAAATATTTATTTTTGTATCAAAGCAAAGTTAAGTCTATTTTTTATAGCAGAGTACTGATTTAAGGAATTTGCCTTCTAGTATTTTAGACTTTAAAAAGTTAAATTCTGAGTATTTGAGTGAAATCTAGAAAATTGCTAATCCTAATGCTTTATAAACATAAGGGATTATTTGGTCCCTCCGTTCTTACATTCTGCATGTTAATTTCTTCCCCTTTCAGATGGTCTTGCTGCATTCAGGGCTTTTTTAAAATCTGAGTTCTGTGAAGAAAATATTGAATTCTGGTTGGCTTGTGAAGACTTCAAAAAAACCAAATCACCCCAAAAGCTGTCCTCAAAAGCAAGGAAAATATATACTGACTTCATAGAAAAAGAAGCTCCAAAAGAGGTATGAAGAAAAGTTCATTTCAGTAAAATTTGGACATCCTTAGCACCAAAGTAAAACAAAAGAACTGTAAGCATTCAGTTAAATGTAGGTCAGAAGGGCAGGATGAAGACCCTTCCCTCACTATCCTAACTTTCAATTAAGTTTCTAAAATTTGATCAGTGAAGCTAATTACACATTAAATTTTTTGTTTTCAAATATTAAATTTCAGTTTCTAACTCTGAATACCAAATAAACCACTTTTTTCCTTTTGGTTTTCTTTCAGATAAACATAGACTTTCAGACTAAAACTCTAATTGCCCAAAATATACAAGAGGCTACCAGTGGCTGCTTTACAACTGCCCAGAAAAGGGTCTACAGCCTGATGGAGAACAATTCTTATCCCCGTTTCTTGGAATCAGAATTCTACCAGGACTTGTGTAAAAAACCACAGATCAACACAGAGCCCCATGCTACATGAGATGAAAGAAGGAATCCAAAAATGGAGGACATTGCATCTTTTTCCTAAGGGAAAAGGCTGGGACCTGCCAAAAAGACTGACCTTGAATTCAGCCTGAGTGTACAGGAAACATCACTCAGAACTATTGATTCAAAGTTGGGTAGTGAATCAGGAAGACAGTAGAGGTTACTGGTATCAGAGCAGCTTCCTGCGCAGCGTGAAGAGCATAGAGAGGGATAGAAGCTGAACGTGGTATATGTCACCAGAAAAGCAGGAGTGTGAGATGAAGACACAGTGTAGCACTGTTGGTACAAAAGCATTTAAAATCAATAGATCTGGGATTATGTGGCCTTAGCTAGCTGGCTGTACATCTTTCCCTAAATCACTCCGTGTTACCACATAGTGGTTTTAGTTTTAGTGTTTTAGTATTAACATTAAAGTGTTTACTTATATGTAAAGGTATTGAAGTTCTTAGAATTACAGATCATCAGTACTTTTGTCTCATGTATTGTTGAAACTACAAAGGTCTGTTTGAATTGTTAAATGGTGTGTGAAATAGAATGTGTGCTGTTGTGTAGAAACCTACAGTGTCTGAGTGCCAAAAACTGTCTTGAAGGCAGCTAAATATTGAAATGGTCTTTGATTACTTTTATTAAATTTATTTTGATAAATAATGTCATTGAATACTTTTGAGTCCAGATATGAGTTTTACTGGATTTTGATACTTGGAAATATGATAGATTCGAAGAATAGTATTGTAGTAAAAAACAGACATCGCAGTTGACTAGTTGTATGCCTGTTTAGTGAGCACCAGCAGTTCTTGGAACTGAGAAATGGTATTTTCAGGCAAGATTCTCTCTTTAAGCCTGTAAGCATTATATAGTCAAATCACTCCCTAAACCACTCTGGAATGAACCTTTCTGATACAATCTTGGGAAAACCAAACTTGTTTTTTAATAAAAATAGAAACATTTAACGAGATCCCTTCATGAGTACTTAGGCCAACTAAAAAAGAATAAAATAACATGAAGACAAGCATCAAGTTTTTCACATCACTAAGCTTGATCAAGTACTAAACACATGAATATGGGCCTGCATTTTTAATCATTTCCCTGGCTTCCAGGCTCCCCTAAGGTACAGCATAAGCTCAAGATACTTAACCTAAAAACTGCTTCTAACATGATGAATCTGCACAAAACCTCAGAATTTTTCTGAATCTCCTGCCTTCATTTGACTAATAATCTCTTAACATTACATTAGATCATGATGAAGACAAAAGAAGTATGCACCTCTGTTTCTCAGTCTTGATCTAGGAATGTGTTTTTTTCCTAGTTGAGAGAGAAAGGGCTTAAATCTTTATTTTTCAAACTGGCTTACATGAAAAGGAATCCCTTTCCTTCAGCAGGAACACTCTTCCTTTCAGTCTCCTGTGCTTCCTACCTCCTGTCACCTGCTGCCTTCCCCCGGTACCCATGAGGCAGTAAGGAACTCTAAAAATTGCAAAGCCCCATGAAGTGCTGTTCTTTCTGACGTACCAAAAGACAGAATGACTGCCAGTAGTTTAAACACTCTATTATGACTGTGCAATTTTTCACGTTTACCAGATCTGGCAACTGGCACAAGCTCCTGGAAGACTGCCTTGTCCACGCCTGCATCACCACCAGCCAATGTCATATAAATGATGTCCCATAAATTTTAGTTGAGGAAATTAATTCTGAAGGATCATGGAAACTGATTTCTTCAGAGAATAAGGAGGTCTGCATAACCCTTAGTTTGTTTCAGCCAACAGAGAAACCCAGGAGTCCGGTGGTATATTCATTTTGCCACTAAGTTCGATTCAGTTCACCTCACATCTACCTCTAACTTATTTTCTAACACACTGAACGGGGTCACCATATGAAGCCTAGTTGAATGCAAATGTCTCACATCTTCCTTTGATCACTTTCCTCCCCACCTAATGTGTTTTTCTGCTTTTTAACTCCATGTATCCTTTTGAGACACAAACCTGATCTTGTTGCTTATAAATCCTTGACAGGTCTCCCAAACATTGGGATAAAGATATTTCTACTATGGCCTGATACCTCAAGACTTGACTCTACCTTCTGTTCCAACCATGTCTGCATTTCCGCCAGCTCTGTGTGTCAGCTACACTGGCCTACTTTGGTTCTCTTGGAGTTCTGTGCTCACTGGCCCCAAAAAGCTTTTGTACCTCATTGTTCCTCTGCACGGAGTGCAATTTTAGCTGTTACTCGTCACTCACCTCTCAGTGCAGTCGCCACATCCCCAGAGAGGTCTACTCTAACCTCCTTTCCCAGATCTTATCCCTATTTAGACAACTTCATGGCACCAGGTTCTCCAACTTAGAACATTTAATAGAATTACAAATTGGCATTAATTTTGTAATTATGTGATAATCTTCAACTGTGTTGCCCAGGCTGGCCCCCGAACTGAAGAAATCCTGCTGCCCCACCCTCAGAGTAACTGGGACTACAGGCACATGCCACTGCACCCAACTTTTAAGTACAAGATTTTAAAAGCTCCTCTGGTTCAAAGCTCTGAAATTATTGGTAGAACTTTTTCCTTTGGCAGAAAGAGAAGCAATGCTTCTTAACCAGGCTTACTGTTCTCTATGACTTTTGACCTTTAGTAGAAGTTGAAGTCAGATTATAGTAAAGAGGGGCACTGGAGGCTGCTAAAAGTACAGGCTTTATGCAGCTGGCATTTCCCAATGTTCTCTAACATAGAACAAACTGAAATAGATTTAAGATTAAAGACCACAAACTTCCACAAAGAAATGTTACTTAATGTTCCCCTTTCCTAGAGTTCACATGCCCTTACAGTCCACTCTGTTAATTTTGATAGTATTTCATTGTTCCTGTACTTTAAGCACAAAGATGTTCCATAATACAGTAATTTCATATAATCACACTGAATAGAATAGAAAATTGCATGTTAACTATTAAGCACAGGCAGATAATATGTGAGCCTCACTGAAATTATTTAAATGATCACCCAAACTGGGCATAAGGGTAAAGACCTATAATCTGAGCACTCTGGGAGCCTGAGACAGCAGGATAACCAATTTGAGCTCAGGCTGGGCAATTTAGCTACTTAACAAGACCTTGTCTCAAAATACAAAATTTTAAAAGGGAAAGGGTATACAGTTTAGTGCCTAAGCCCTAGATTCAATCCTCAGTACTGCAAAAAGGAAAAAGAAAAGACAAGAAAGAAGAAAAAAGAGAATCACCCAAAATTTCACAAGGAATGAGTCTTTATTAGACCTTTAGTAGAACTGTTTTCATAGTGGTTGAATCATGGCATTTGATCATTTGGATTTGAAGAGTAAAGCAAAGCAGTGGTTATGAATTTCTCCAGGTCAAAAGAGATGTCACAGGAGAGAGTGCACTGTTCATTTGGATGGAATAGAGACGGGAAGATGCCTTTGCTGTGCCTACAGTCTAGTTTTGTTTTCTTATCCCTCTACAGAGGACATCATCACTTGGACACACACAGAGATCTCCTGAGACCGGCTCAAATGCCTTTCTACTTTAGAAAAATAAACTGGCGGGGAGTAGTTGAGACAAGATCTTGCTATAGCGTTCAGGCTGGTCTGGAACTCACTCTGTAGCCCAGGCTGAACTTGACCCATATCAATCTTAACTACCTCAGCCTTACAAGTTTGAGGATTACAGGTATCAGCACCATACCCAGATAGAAAATTATTTTTATTAATAGCAAAACAATAAATTTATCTAATTTTATATCTCAGGTAAGGAGTAGATTAGGGTTGCTTAATTGATGATAGTGCCCCCAAATAGCCTCTTCTGTAACCTACAGGATTAAAAAAATTAGGAATAAGAAGTGCTTCCAGTGGACTCTACAACTGTAAATAAAAAACTGATATTAAACATTTTTGACCCATGACTACAACATACAATATGAGGAGGTCAGGGTACAAAATGAAAGTAGAAATATAACACAGCCAGGTGTGGTGGTGCATACATGCAGTCTCTGCACTTGGGAGGCTGAGACAGGAGGATCATTGAAGTTCGAGACTGCAAAGTAAACTCAAGGCCAACCTGAACTGCATAGTGAGACCCTGTCTAAAAAAGACCAAAAAAAAAAGATCAAGCATAAATTCACATGATGAAGCTGTTATGATTTGTCGTACAATCCTTCATGATACTTGAGGCATTTGTTTTCCCTTCTCTTACAACAGCCAAGTGCCTGCTTACTGCTGCCCGCATCCTCTCACTGGGTCTCAGCAGGCCTGGGTTCTATTTCCAATCTATTCCCTGCGATGCTGCCTGATGTTGACTTTTTTATGTCACTCTCATGCCCAGACAAAAGTATTAACCCCTCAGTATTTCCCAAATTAAGGAAAAGGTAAACTCTTTATGCCTACAATTAAAACTTCTCTATATTTTGGTTTTATTTCTGTCCATTTAAGCTATTTTTCACTACTGACCAGAAACATGTGATATTAAGCCTTTTTTATTATCACTGAGATGTTTTCCTGTTTAGAAAACTGTTTTGTCTTAAATATTAATTTTTTTTTTCTTTTTTTAGACGAAGTCTTTCTATGTAGTTCAGGCTAGCTTCAAATTCACTATGTAGCCCAGGCTGGCCTTGAATTCATGGTGATCCTCTAGTCTCAGTCTCTCAAATGTTGATGTTATAAACATGTACCACCATACCCAGCTTTAAATTTTACTATTTTAAAGGCTCAGATCAAATTTCTTCTCCTTGAAAGGATCTTAAAGCATGTCAGTCTTATTTTCCAATTACATGCTCAATAATGTTCCTTCCTATTTATTCTATTTAGTTTTAGTGTAGCTAATAAATTTTCAGACATGGATGACAGTACCTATTCTGCACTGATAATCTGATACACTCATTAGTTCATTTATTAATTTATCATGGAAGTCTTAAGTAAAAATGAATGCAGTGACATAAATTATTTCATTTAAATATGCTTCACTCATTTGCCCAAAAATGACCTTTTAAGGGAGTCTGTATGATAATTTTTCAATTTAACTCTACATTTCTTCTAGCTCTGTTTCAGAATTCAAAGTTCCAAATGTCCTATAAAAGTCATGGTGAACCTATTGTACATGAAAGCTCTAAACAGTCATCACTGTCCTATAACAAATTTAAAAAGCGCTAATAAGATCATTAACATTTAAGCATTAGAATGCAGTCACACAGCTGAAGAAAAGCAGGAATTTTTTTTAGTAAGAAGACAATGAGTCTTTGTATACAATTGTTAATGGCGGTGACACAATGCTAACAATTTACTGGTAACCCAGTGCAGTGGTGCCCAGCTCTAATTACAGCGCTCCGGAGGCTGAGCCAGGATGATCACTGGGAGTTACTGGGCTACAAAGTGAGTTGAGGGTCAGCCTGATCTGCATAGTGAAACCCTGTCTCAAAAAACAAAAGACGAACAAAATGATTTGTATTTGTAAATTTGTACTAAAGATAGGGTTACCTGGGATTGCAGGCATGTGTCACTATGCCTGGCTTCTTTATCTTCTTAACAGTGCAAAACTTAAATTCTGACAAACTCCAGTGTGTCTGTTTTCCTTTCTACGAGTCATGTTTTTATGTCAAGCCTAAAAGTATTTTATATAGTCCTAGGTCACAAAGATTTTCTATTTTTTTCCTAGAATTT